AGGGTTAATTGGATTAGAGGACAGGGACCCTAATATTATTTACTAATACTGTAATGAAACAGTAGATGTGGGTGAAAGGAAACTTACAGGTGGGAGCTAGTACACACATGAGCATTCCCGTTTTCTCTTTGGAGGAAATGAAAGTGTGCTAATCTAACAAGCATGTAGAAGAAGGAGAGTGGGAGTCAGGAGAACTATGAAGTAGCTGTCATAAAAACCCTAAGAATAGCTGGTGGTAGGTACCAGAAGAAGTCGTCTTGTAAGGACCTAGCCAGACTATGAGGTTAATGTTTCATATCCCACTCCGGAAAGTATGCGTCATTTATGTGCCAAAACACTTTTGAATGTTTTATGTCATTTCTAAGAGGTGTGCTTGGCATTGGTGGGACATTACAGATCTTTGGGTTATTGAGCTCTCTCCAAGAATAAGCACTTTTGTCATGAATGAGTCTCCTTCTTGCAAGATGTTATAGTTGGCCAAATGGCTGTCCCAGTGAAGCTGAACATAGACCCATGAATAATAAACTCTGGCATGTAATTGGTGTTAATTTTGGTATCATTCATTGTTTCCCATTAAAAATGATTGTTTCCTGAGATGAGTAGAAAACCTTGGCTAACTGACAAGTTCCCAAGAACTATTATTTAATAGTATATCGCCAAGAACATTCTACATAATTCCACATAACTTTCCTCATTAAGAAGCCTAAAAATACTTCATTTAAATGTAATAGTTATGTATTGAGATCTTGATGATTTCAGAAGATCAGTTTGACTGTGACAGGGACCTATACTTATACATTATCATCATTTTAGGAAAACAACAAATTCATATGAAACAGTATGAAAACAAGCAAAAGATATAATTTAATGTCAGCTTAATAAACTAATATTTTTATTAAGTTAGACAATCACCAGTAATCTTTCTGTGACACTTATCATTAGATAATTTTTATTTTTTCAATTAGTGTATTATTTTATGTTTTCTGTGTGTATAAAAACATTTCACTATAAAAGCCTTATTTTTCTAGCACCGAAGTCAGTACATATTACTGGCTATACCCTATATGCCAGCACACTTACGTGTGTTGGGGCTACACAGATGAGCAAAGTAGTCCCTGTACTTAAAGAATCTGTTGCTTTCTGTGTGTGTGTGTGTGTGTGTGTGTGTGTGTGTGTGTGTGTGTGTGTGTACTTTGGAGAGGTGCCAGGGAAGAGACAGACAATAAATGTATGAACAAGTAAATAAGGTTATTTCAGATATTTAAAGGTAAAAATGTGGGGGTGGGAGTGCTTGACTGCAGTTGCCTGAGAAGTCCTGTTTGAGGAGCTAACACAATTGAAAAATCAAGTAAGAAGCTAGTTGAGGGCTGACCTTTACCTGTCTTCAAAGATGAATCATTTCTTTGATATAAGTTGTTTGTGAAGTGAGAGGAAAAACCCTATGACAGATTGAAAAAGAGAGAAGAAGAGATACAGAAAGAAAAACAAGAATATTCAAGTCTTTGTAGGGACTTTAGTATGAAGGAGAAGAAAGCAGAGGGTAAAACTCAATCTTTTGAATAGGTGGATGATACTGGACAGGTTTTCATGCCAATGAAGTGGATCTGATAGAGAAAGCAGTGGTATAACAGAATGATGGAATAATTATAGAGGAGAGGCCTTTCAAAGGTGGATGGGGTAACATCCACAGCATAAGTGAGAGAATTGCATTAATACTGTTAGGGAAGTTGCTTCCCTTATAACAAGAGAGAAGGAAAGAGATGTAAAAAGGGATGCAGATGGATTAGTGGAATTTATGTTAAAAAGATGAGGAAAACCAAATGTGGTAAAACATGCCTGTAATCCCAGCGCTCTGGCTGACTGAGGCAGAAAGATCCCATATTTAAGCTCAACCTGGGCAACTTAGTGAGAAGCTGTCTAAAATTTTTAAAAAGCTAAAATCTCGTTCATTGTGAAGGTCCTGCATTATCCACAGTACTGGTGTGTGTTGGGGGGAGGTGAGGTAGTTCAACCTTACTGCATCTGTTTCTGTTTTTCTAATTCAAGATTAGGTTACCAGCTGAGAGGGAGAGGGATGGATGCGGGAGTGTGAGCTCCTAGATAAAACAGGCTTCTTGACGAGTTGTAAGTAGAATCAGCTCGGGAATCATAGTAGTAAACTTGTTAGGAGAACAGTAGCAATCTGATATCTTTATGACAAGAGAATTTGAGAATAAATAGAAAGTGAATTATCAATATTGTGTGATTTTCCTATAACAAAACTTTTACTGACTAGTGACAGAAATCCTTCTGGCTTAGGTTGTGCTTTTGAAGAAACACTTTCTGCTAAGAGAAACATGGGTTCCTTAAGAGGATTGGCTCATTTCAGGCTTGCGAGGGAATGTTTTTATAATTAATCTGGAAAAGGAAAGACGGAATCTAACCATAACTGTAATTTACCTGTCAGGTCTGGAGACAAAGTGAAGAATCTTCCACTTGATAAAGACAGGACAGTTTGAGTACCATGAAGGGTGGATGGAATACCTTTAAATTCATGAGTTCATGTTGATCATATTGAAAGTGCATCAGCTTTCGGTTCCCGGTACCAGAGAAAAACCAAAAAAAAAAAAACAAAAAAACGAAAGTGCATCAGCTATGTGTAAACCCATGAGTCGCAGTGCCTGTGAGCACATGTATGCACGTTTATGTTCACACCCGCCACCGCCACCACCAGTAACTAAGTGGAAAACCTCCAAGTATTCTAGTGAACTAGATTTTCACTAAAAAAACTTACGAGAGGATCATATATTTACCTTTTTCCTAGAACTATGGTGACCAAATAGTAGGTATGGTAAAACTTCTTTTAAAACTCTTTTCTAGTAAATAAGTACTGTAGTTGAAATAATATCACCATTTTGTAAGCCCTAATGAATTAGTGAATTTAGACATAAGCATCAGAGGCTGCTAAACTCACAAAAAGGAACACCAGTTACTGAGTTTGCAGATAGACAAAGGCAAGTTTAAGATGATCCAGGGCAGCTTAAAAATTTAGCGAGACCCTGTGTCAAATAAAGGGCTGGGGGATATAGTTCAGTGCAAAGGCCTTAGTTCAATCCCCAGCACCACATAAGACATACACAAAAAGAATACATGAATATCAGTGTGATTGATAGTGGTCTTTAAATTGTATGTAAAAGTTGGGCATGGTGGTGCATGCCTGTAATCCCAGCACTTGGGAGGCTGAGGCAGGAGGATCGTTGCAA